TATTCAAACGTACAAAATTTTATTCGTATTCAATGATTCTAATGAAAACGAAGATTGTATATATTTACGAGGAATAACTCCGTTCTGTGCATGTATGTTAATTACATTTACACTAGACTGTGATCAAAATAAAAAGCAAGCTGAGCGATCGAAGCAAGCGTACCGATGCAGCGAGCGCCATATGGTACCTACATCGTATTTTTTTAAATGTATAACTGTCAATAAAAAATATACAAAATAGAAAACTTAGTAGCTCTTAATACCCAGACCAGACTAGAAAAAGTTAATTTGTGCGTTGATCCGATCGGGAATTGAATCCAAGGTGTCTGGGTGATGATGGTGAGATTGTAGAAATCTTCAAACAGGGTTGCGTGTCACTCTACTATGGATGTCGTCAAAATATGTAAATATGAAATGTATGCCAAAACAAGATTCATACTTTGATCAGTATCCAAAATGTTCATTATAGGTACTTCCTTATTATAATGCATGTAAATAATTATGACTTTAAAATTAAGAGTCTTGAATGTATGCCATACGAGTGTATGCCAAACAAGTTTTTGGCTTAATAAAAGTTCTGTCACAAATTGTAGACTCCTTTCTCAAAAGATTCGAGCCTTGTAATTCATGTTGGTGACTATAATTACAGGGAGGAAAGTAACCAAATATGGAGTAATATGCCTTAAATGAAATACTGAATTTACTTCCTAAATATTCTTTATAGAATTTTTTCTTCTTCTAACACCGTTAACTGATCATGCATTTCCGAAACTTATTGAAAATTAAAACATTAACTCCATATTAGGAACTATATTTCATATTCGATTACTTTATTCTACATTAATCAACTCTATTTATTTGCAAATTGCTGTTCTAGGAAACGCTATATTATAAACTTTGAGAATAACCTGAATAAATACGATTTATTATTTTAAACATGAAAAACATTTAAACCAATAATTGTACTTTTCGAGAAACCGGGCTGAATTCGACAGATGTAATCACAATGTTCGACCAAAATCCAATATCGTTTGATTCGAGAGCCAGTAAAAAATTTATACGAATATCTATCTAAACTTTGCTTACCAGCTCTAGTAATGGCGTTGGGGCGGGTCCTGTATATTTTCCGCAGGGCGGAGTCACAGAAAAATCGCCGCCTTTCGACGGCCACGCCCACCGCCGCTTTTCCGAGCTACAGATTCTATTTATTTTGTTTCCATGAAACATACACATGTGTAGCTTAAGCGTATGACCACACTGTCTGAGCTACGTGTTATCCGCTTTACGTAATGCATCAGACTATAGTTATAATATAAATATATAACTATAATAATAAAAAGTTAATTTTATCTTACTCCTATATCACATTGTAGTCAACTGAGTGATGATTGAGAGTAAATACGTAGTGTATATCATTGACAGTTAGTAGTTATAACTAAATATAGTTAATAGTGATTTGGAACTAATGAATTAACTATTACGTACACACCGATATAAGAAGCGGTGTATTTGATATTTGAATGAAATAAAACTAACCATTTCTAAACTTATAAGTGTCTAGGAAAGAAATGAGAGACCGAATACCAGGTCTTAGATAAAGAGAGAAATTATAAAAAGAACTGCCAAAGTAGGGATGATGACAAAAAATTTTTTTGTCCATTAAATAGATTAGGGTATATTACCTACTTAAAAATTTTCAAATTTAATTTATCATGTGCGTAACTTTGATCGTTATTATAAAGAGCATCGTGATTGTTACGTTGCATAACTGTTTGATATTAAACGTGCGGTCTGAGTTCCATCGACGCAGTCATATTTCTCGGTCGGGTAGTCAAAGAGCGATGCGTGTAGGGGTTCCGGTACACTTTAATATCAGTGCACTTCCTTAAAATACATATCTACTAGATACAGTACCCCTTAACTTATTTGTATAAAACACCGATAGCAATTTTAAACATTATTTTCTAGGCATGATAATTTGTAATTGTAAATAAACTTTGAGATAGCTGTAGTTTTCTTATAAAATATGAAGTAACCATATTACCGACTTTATAAATATCAGACATTTTTCATGGGGCATTTTTAATGCTGCACAGATTAATTACTTTGTCCATGGCTTATAATATACTAGCTTTCCGCCAGTGGCTTCGCCCGCGTGGTGTTGTATTAAACATAAAAACCTTCCTTTTGAATCACTCTATCTATGAAAAACCGCATCAAAACCCGTTGCGTAGTTTTAAAGATTTATGGATATAGGGACAGAGAAAGCGACTTTTTTTATACTATGTAATGATGCCATGCAAATATATATTTTTAATAATTAAAAATAAAACAATAATTTAATTGATCAAATAAAAATGTATATGTATCACTTGTTAGACATTAATTTCTGAATACCTTCATACTCATACATATGAAAGTAAATGCAAATTATTATTAGATGGTTGTTCTTCGGACTCGTAATACTCTTGTGTGGTGGTGATGGTGTGAATCGTCGTATTTCAATAGCTAGAGCTGTGAGAAAAAATCGGACAATAGATTCGGGAATATCAAAAATTTTTAAACCAGAAATATTAATTTTCAATTTTACCACCACACAGATAAAAATATCACTGATAGACTTTCGAGTTTCCCATTCGTGATCTGGTAGTAATCAGCCGAAGAAGCTATCACTTTGACAACGCGACACCGTTTGGTGTGATCAATATTATATGCAACCAGAACATGAGACTTGTAGTCAACAGTGTAGCGTTGAGCGAAATCGAGCAAAAGAACTTTGTTATCGACTGTAAATAAAACTATCTATATTCAAGATATTTTTGTCGTCTTCAAAACAGGCGTTAGCGAATATATAAAGTGTAATATTATTATGTGCCAGGACTTCGTGTGGTATATGAGTTAAATATATTGAACGACTTTTACTATGGCAGCAACACTGAATTCACAAAATCGCCTGTTTCATACATAATTGTTACACCTCCAGTCGTCAACAGTATGAAACCACTGTTAATTTTTTCATGGATTCAGTGTTGCTCCCATGGTAATGTTGTTTATTATATTTAACCCATCTATCCCACGATATCCTGCCATATAATATTTTTAGGAATAGTAAATGAAACCAGCTATTACGCATACTTATTTATTTGTTTATTTATGAACTGTGAACATCATCTTGGATGAGTTAAATAGAACTGTTTGTGTGAAGATATACTCCTTAAATTCACGTTTACATAGTATTGAAATAAACAAAAATGTACAATAACTATACATTAGTTTGTATCCTAAAGTTGCATATTAAAACTAAAATTGACTTAATACATATAACTACACTGTAAAAAGCAGCCCATAGAGACTTGGCTAGTTTTTACAGGATGTTTTTGGTGAGATTTCACTTTTTTGCAGAAAGCTTATCTTCACTAAATGTGTCTTCAGCACATCTTTGACCTAACCGGAGTCTTAACTGAAGTCTGAAGTATTAGATACCTTAAAAAACAATAAATATTTGATACTTTAATTTTTGAGGCGCATTTCCATATCCCCATAAGTTCAGCTAAACTCTTAGGGTTCTTCATCAGATACTTCAGTAATTCAATGGTTTAATTTCATAAGAAAGAGCTAACAATATATAAAATTTATCAAAGTTTAATAGTTTTGTTGGTCTGTCATGGTTTCTCCTCAGGGTCGTCAGATTCTCCAGATCTTTCATGATCCCAGTTTTGATAATTTTCCATTTATATGAGCACTAAACCCTACATGTGACTAGATGGGAAATAAAGGTATTGTAGCTGGGCCTTTGTGCCAAATTTCAGCTCTCTAGGTTTACTGTTTTAATAATCTGTGAGTCAGTGACGAAATAGCTTTTGCATAATTTAGAAAATAAATAGACCACCAACATGTAATCTCATAGTTTATATGTATGCTTATGTCTTACCAGATAGATAATTTTAGCGTTCTAAAAAAATACGATGTAATGATTCCAGAAAAGGATACGGCAAGGTATTGTTTGCTTCACGCCCTACTTAGCTGGGCACTTGGCACTGCCATGGCTCCAGATTTTTTCAGAAGGTATTTTAGTTTTATTACCATCACTATACGGTACAATTATGAGAAAAACTAAAATATGACTGAATTTTATTGTATTTTATTTTGTAGAGAAAACAACATAAATTCACCTATTGACAAAGTTTTTACTTAGAAATATGGTGTAGTATTTAGCTCTTAATTACAGGTTCATTTTCTTTTACCAATTAACTTGATAATAGAAATTCGTGCGCTCTCTTAACCTCAAATGTTTTATTATTCACCAGTGCTTTCTTCAAATTTTATTTGGGAATATATTAGTATATAATATATTGGCCAAGTCTACCAAAATAATATACAGTTAAAGTATGAGTGTTTCTTTTACTATAGATACACTAGGCTTAAAGTATTCACAAGTCTTTAAAGCTACGTATATATATGGGTTAGTAAAAGAAGTATTTTAACTCATTAAAAACATTTTCAACAAGTAAGTATGGTGAATGGTTAATATGATATACATAAAAAGTAAAAATAAGATAGATATTTTAAAAACAAGGTCAGTCTGGGTTTTAATTTTTACACCTGCTTAAATAAATATATCTTCAGAGAATCACATTGACAGATATTATAAAACTAACAACTAAATTTAAAATATGTTACAAGGGCGCTTGCATGAAAACAACCATAATCATTGTTAAAAAAACAACTTTTGAATGAGTTTAAGGACACGCAATTTTTGTTAAAGTACTTGGTACTACCTAGTAATCTGTAAAGGATTCTTCCTAGAATATATATACATTTAAAAAAATAAAAAGATACACGACTTAAACCCTTTAAGAAGTTGCTTTATTAAAATAAGTGTGCAAAGAAATTATACTTATACACGCTTTTTTCTTATTAAAATTGATGTATGTAGATCAGCAAGTGTAGATACATGATGTGGATACCATTTTGAATGGCTTAGTTTAGTTAGCTTAAAGCTAAGAATCCCGCTTTCTCTTCCTTGGAGATGTACTGTTAATGATGTCATCATTAAGTGTACTGGCGAGAATGATGTCGCATATGCCGCGCAAGTAGCAGACAGGTGCACGTGTTAACTTGGCCAGTTGCGGCAAAGGGTCCGGCCCCTTGAAGTTTAAGTAACGCGCCGCTGCTGCAACGCACGCTGCCGCTAGATGCAGCGTGCGCAGTATTGTCCGATCTGTCAGTTTTAACCAAATTTAAATGCCTAAGAAGAACCATTATTTTTAAAGACTCGAGTAAAAAAAAATTAGGTATGTTATTACGGTCCTTTTTACTGATATAGATTTATAGCACTCTGGTTGTTGAAGCCTCCTAACCATTTGACCACAAAATTTCGTTTCCAGGACTTCCATGTAACATATACTACTATAATATGTAGTACGAGCGCTCGTCGCCGTCGGCATGCTTCGTCTTGATTACATGTGTCTAGTATTGTCTAGGTTGGAAAGAAAAGATTGTTTTTTGATAGCTTCATTACTGTTCTATTATAATTATAATTACTATCAACAAAGAAGTTTAATAACATAATTGATAAAGATTTCACACGTGGAATCTAACATTGAATCTCACTGTGATTAAATGCGTTTACAGAATCGCACGGCTCTGTTAATATATCTAGAACGTTTCTAATAGTTGGGTCATGTTTTGTGTGCTCCTGCGCCTCGAGTATTATGACAACCTCTGTGTTTGAATGGCTTAAATACCATATCGAAAAAGATTCGGTTTTGATTTCATGAGAGGTATAATATAGAAAACATTTCTTTTCATATCTAATTTAAAGTTACAAATTATTATAAAAATTATGTATATACTACGCAAACAACATCAATGACGGCCGCTAGACTTACAAACATAATTTTATCCCATTATCTCAAATTAACAATAAGATTTTTTTTCGGTAAAGAATAAAGTTCACATGGCGTGAATTACACGAACGAACTATACATAACATTTTAAGTTTACTATTCGCTACTGTACGATGATGAATCCAGTAAAAAGGTAGCTGCAAAATAAAATCAAAAACGTTCTTAAATTTAATTAAAATGGGCGACTTACTGAATCCCTCGCTACGAGATGTGAGGTTGGCCGCCCAGCGCACACGTTTGAGCAGCCGGTCCCGACGATACTCCGAAATGTTAATGAAAAGGGCAACACCTTCCAACATCTCCTGCGGCATACCGACGTCCAACGCAAGCGCTTCCCCTATTTCTACACTCGTCCATAATGAGAGACGATATCCTGAAATCATCATGTATATACTTATAGTCCGGTTAAATTATATTGATCCGAAAAGGCATAGTCCAATTTATTGACTGCTGGTTTTTCTTATTGTTAGTTGACATATGTCAGACAGGCCTGGCGCGCTCTCATTGGTTTCTTTGAAAATTGTGGGAAATATAAAAACGGTAGTGAAAACTTTACTAAGTTTCGTCATCATTTTCATCAGTCGTTTTACGTCTTCACTGCAGGGCTCAGGCATTCCCAATAAATGGTTAAGGAGGATGGACCAAAGCCCTCCACTCTGGCTTAATGTGGATGGGAGGGTACTAGCGACTGGAAATGCAGTCGGTACCATTTTTTTTTGTTTGAAAGGAAATTTTTTCGAGACTGTTCTCAGTACGAACTACATTTTATTTTTTTGAAGTATTTACTTGAAAATATGTTGAAGTTTCAGTTTATTGCTTAAAATAATATAAATTGTTGAAAAATGTAATAAAACTCGGAAAATCTGAGTTTCTAATACACTGTGTACGCGGACAAAGTTGCGAGCAAAAGCTAGTAATAAAGTAAAACTGACCCAGAACTCTGAAAACGTTGAATTCTGACTGGACAATATCAACGATGGAGAAAGTTATCCCCTTGCATAGAAGACAGGCCCTCACCACCTTTGCTTTGACGTGGAAAGTTGCCCCGTTCATCTTTGAGGCCAGCTGGATGCATGATATCATAGTAAGTGGCAGTCGAGACGTCAGCGATCGCTTGAATGCCTCCCATTCACCGCTGCCTGGAACATTTTTTCGTCGTCATCATTATCATTGTTATTATAAAAATCATTAGCAACCTATGTATGCCCATTTGCCGCTGGTGCACACCTATGGATAGAATCATATAGGCAGATTGAGCCATAATATACAGATTATTGTTTTCCTTTTCCTTTTTATTTTCATGAATAAGAATGTAACAATGAATACGACGATTGGCATAAAATATTAAAACGTAATTTACCGAGTTTGAAATATCGAACTCAATCCAAATGATTAAAAAAAAACATTTTATTAAAAGCCAACAAAAAGTCAAAACGTTGAAAATGTTACTTTGCCCTAAATACATAGGACCCATATCTACATAATTATGAAGTGATTTCTTCTCAACTATGACTTCATCATTTACAAAGCAAAAAGCAAACAAAGGGAACTGAGAACAGTTTCCATGCATTATAAACTTTTTTTATTGATTTTTGAGATTCATCGTGGCTTCTAACTTTATACTTTTCGGAAATACTCGATTTTTGAAAAACTTAAAAAATAAATAACCAGTTGGCATGCTTAGGAAATTGCGCATCTGCACAGCGAGGTAGCGCTCGACGAGCCGACACGCCTCACCAGGTACACCGTTACTGTCCACACCGAGCGTTGAACACATGTTCCATATTGCGCGTCTGCCATCATTTTCTAAAAGCTTCACTAGGAGTTCCTCATCGTTATTACCTATACAATTATGATTGTCAAATTAGACGTACTACTAACAGAAACCGTATCTATTTAGATTAAAAGAATCTACGAACTAGTAGTTTAACCAGTGAAGTGGTGCAATGCGTTATTCGGCAGGTATAGTAATAGATTACTAGCCTGCCACATGTGTAAGAAATGACATAAAACTCATAGGTTCAAAACGATCCAATGATAAATTATAATCATACAGCTTACATACCTATAGATTCTTTATCATGTATAATTAGTAAACCTGAAGAAGTTATTTAAATATTTAACATCTAATTTTATCTACTCGTACAATTAATTATATTTGACAATAAATGTTCACTAGGTACTTACTTTCATCCTTGTCCTCTGTTAATTGTGATAACCACTCCGGCAGAAGATACATTGTTGACTTTGTGATATTGTCAAAACCTTTCACATCCTCCATATTTGAACTTAAAAAGAAACGTTGAGACAAATAACTTTTTATTCACATCTTCCTCAGATTTTGTCCATTTATATATTACTTAAAATAAAAAGACAATGTTGCCTTCTACCTCCAATTTTTTTACAATGACATTGACAGCATTTGTCATAAATTAGTAAACATGACATTATCTATAAGCGTACTTCAAACAGTTATAATAACCAAAAAGGTTAGCTAGGGTATCAATCAATTCTGTTGCTTCATTCTCTAAGTTAAAAGAAATTTGATTTTAATTTGAGGTTATTTCAACATCATTATGTTGTTACATACCTGTAATTTAAGAAGTAATGATGACATTACTTCTGATTAATTTATTGTTTGTAGTACGAAAAGGATTATAACTAAATTTGGTCTAGTTTGTTCTGACAGAATTGTGTCCTAAACGAAACTTTTTCGTTCTCATTATGATATAGGTATACAACCTCTTTGCTTAAAATGTCTGTATTCATCGCCATTTTCTTCAGTTCTAAAATAATATGATACTTAATTTTACTACATTGTAAGCCATTATTTTTAAAATAGTTTTGTTTACTTTCTTACCTGTAAAGTAAAAGCAAATAAATTTGTTATATTATTTCTAAAAATATTGTTATTACAGATCAAATAAATATTTGAAGTTCTAAAAATGGAAAACTTAGCAATTTACAGCCAATAATTTGGTAATTAAATTTTTTATGTATGATTTTTATGTATATTTGTATGTACTAAACAATACTTTGAGAATGTTAATTGAACGATTAGATAAGTAATCGGTTAGCACAACAAGTTTCAGTCGTAGCTATGTAATTCTTTATTAAGACTGCTGCACTCCACAGCCTATTCATAGTCTACAAATAACACCTTTATTTGTATGCCAAACAAATACATTACTTATAAAAACTTTTCATTAATGCCCTATTTATAATCTCGCCGCCCAAATATTCTTACTGCGGTGTGACTTTTTAACTGGAAGGCACTTAATATACGCCTACTCATGTTTGAATTACTGACCATTATTATGACTGGTAACAAAAGATTTGTTGCCTAATTTTTATTATTGGTGACAAAACATTTGACGTTTGCCAATTAATTACTTTTCATATTTTTAATATGAGCATTTAACATAGAAATAATTATATGTGAACAGAATTATATTTAGATCAACTTTATAATATCCAAACTTCAGTATCCAAGAAAGTGTTATTAGGTTATCAATGATTTAAAACTAGACTAGATTAAGACTCGCAGTTATTGCATTTTTAAATGCTCTCTTATTCAGCAAAAAAATGTCATGAGTACTAAAGTATTCTTTGTACATCTTGGGAAGCCGTGTCAGTGTTCATAGCGTAGTTAGATGACCGCAGTGGAATATGAAATATAGGTGTGTGCCTTGTGCGACGTGTAGGTGTCCGATATGCAATACCTGCTATTAGTTCAGAACAGTCCAAATGACTATTCACGATGTCGAACAAAAGGGACATGTCAAGAACTTTGCGTCTATTTACTAGAGTAATACTACGTACATAAGTAAAGTAAACCGATTTTAATGTCAATACATCTTTAAATGGTTTGCATGAAAGTAAAACAAAACCTAGATTTTTATAATATTTATTAATAATTGTATCAATATGCATAGAAAACAACATTTTTTTATCTAAATTTACACCTACATCTCGAATTTCTGTAGAATTCTGAATTGGGATACTATCAAAATTATAATTATGAACTATAGGCTTCAATTTACGGGTGAAACTTACACAGTGGCATTGTTTGATATTTATCTTGATATTTTTTTTTTGTAGTAATGAAACAAATTATCCAGGTCCAATTGGATTTTCTCACAATTGCTGGGTTTTTTTATAGAACGGAATATTTTCTTATCATCGGCATATAACCAGTGTTTAGAGATTTTTATGTAGTTTGATATGTCATATATAAACACATTGTAGAGCTATGGGCTCAAATGTGAACCTTGACGAACGCCACTAGGAATCATAATAAAATCAGATCGATAACCACCCATAACGACTGCTTGAGACCGATTGGCCAGATATGATTTGATCCATCTTAACAAATCTCCCTTGATACCCAAGTCCTGTAACTTGGTAAGCAGTATGATGTAATCCACGCGATCAAATGCCTTCTCAAAATCAGTATAGATCTCATCATCCTGACCAGCTCGATCCATATTCTTCAAAACATAATCTGTGAAACAAATTAAATTTGTAATAGTGGACCATTTCCTTACAATACCATGCTGACTAACAGGAATGCTTTTAGTTATTTCAGGATAAATAAGTTCATATACTAATTTTTCAAATAATTTACCGATAGTGGTAAGTATCGTTATGCCTCGATAGTTCTCAACCTTTGACCTAGTTCCACTTTTGTGAAGAGACATGATATGGCCTTTTTTCCATATAGAAGGAAAATACTATAACGCAAAGAGCTGTTAAAAATAAGATGAAGTGGAGTAATAACAGCTTTAACACAATTTAACCAAAAAATTGGTAGAATACCATCAAATCCAGGTCCCTTAGAAATGTCCAACTTTTTGATAGCGCCTTCAATAGTTGCGGGATCAATATTTAAGTTAGCAATTATGTCAACGCCTATATCTGCGGATTGAGGTATAACATTACCTGAAGACTGCCTGACAAAGATGCTGTTAAAGAAATCATTAAACGCAGTGCATATTTCCTCTCCACCAGCACAATATTTTCGACCGTATGTTATATTTTCCGGATAATTAGAACCTCCTCGCATTGATTTTATATAACTCCAAAACACTTTGGGTGACTTTTTAATAGCTTCTTCGGTATTATATATGTATGCGTTAAAGCATAAAGATATATGACATTTTACATGCACAGAGGACGGATTCATGCATATACTTGCAGTTCAGACTTTTTATCAGACCGAATAGCAGAGTGCCGACATTGCGAGAGGGTTTTTGCCCTGTACGCCACTTTCCCTAAAATGTCATCTCGCAAATGTTGCAGAAAGTTAATGTCGCACAAGGTAATCTTCTGAGAAAATAATTTTTAAAAAAAGTTAATTTTGTACAATGACACAACGTCACTGTGTTGCAATAATGAGATTTGAATCTTGCTGTTTATGTATTTATTTTTATTTTTTAAACTACTTGGTTGTAAACATTAGGTCTACTTTATAATGGAAAGCATAATTTTGTGAATGAGAATCTACGAAAGTGACATAAAATGAGTTTATGAAAATATGACTTTTTGCGAAATTTACTTTCTGTATAAGTATGTTTTCGAGATGAGATTTGCGAAAGTGACGTACGTAAATTGAAGCAAAAATTTATGTAAATATTAATTCTCCAATAAATTACTGATGGATTAAATAGATTTTTTTTGTACCTATTATGTTAGTCATCATTTCACAATATGAAATTAATAATAATAACATTTTTAAACCTGCATATAATAAATACATTAAAAATATATAAAAATTACATCTACCCACCCTTTATCTTTAATGACAAATGTAAAAGAAAAATATAAATTATGCTGCAGAAGGTATTGTAATGTCTTAGTGAACAACACGATCAAGATTCTCAATTTTCTAGTGTTTTATTTTGCGATAGTATTTTCATCAAACATATTTAAGAAATAAACATTACCTAAATATGGGTTCCAAAGGGGTTATATTTATCTAAAATAAAGTAAAAAAAGGCTAGCTTATTTGTATCGTATTAAAGCTTGGTTATCATATTCTAAAAAACTTTGTAATTATTATACATAATAAAACAAACATTCCGCTCCAGACATACTCACATTTTAACCGACTCCAAAATCTAAATGTAGGAGGTTATATGTTTGACGGCGATGTTTAATACGTTCACCGATTTTTCCGCGAATTGTTGATAGATTTTATTCGATAGTTTAATGGAGACTACCACCGGTCCTATTATTTTATCGAAATCGAATCATCAGTTTTCCTTTTATAACAAAACAAAATACGCTTTTAACCAGATATCACCTAAATATTTAGATGATATGTTTACTTCAATTAAAAAACAAAATATGGCGTATTTAGAATTCATTAAAAATCCGAAAGGAGGATTTTCTATGTTCAAGGCGCAAGCACTTCTTTTTATGAAAGTATATGTATATGTCAATCGATTTATTCTAGAATTGTGAAGCAATTTCTATTAAACTAGTGGTTTTTCCGCGAATTCGCATGCGCAAATTATATATAGCCTATATCCAACGCGTAGTGTGTAGCTTCCCGTAGATCGGTCCAATAGTTTCGGAGCCTATCCAATGCTGTTTGTAACAAGCAATCAAATCTTTCCTTCTTCTATCAATGCTTCTTTTTTTAAAGTTTTTATAGTTTATACTAAAACAAAATATGCTTTTCACCAAATACCATTTAAATGACATGTTTATATCAACAAAAGAACAAAAAATATCATATTTTGTATTCACTCAAAATCGGAAAGGAGCTTCATATAAAAAATATTTCATTATAATGGAGGAATTTCTATGTTTTATATAACTCATACTCTTTTTATGTAAGTAGATTTGCTCGCGGATTTCATCGTGAATTGTGAACCAATTGAAGGTTTTCCGAACCTTTGCCTTTGTCCCCCGCGTATGCTCATGCTTCCAGTAGGTGAAAGATTTTTTGTAGAAATCGGACGAGTAATTTTAGAGCCAATTCAATGGAGACAAATAAACAACCAAATCATTCTTCTTTATAATATTAGTAATATTTTGGAGTTATTTTATGGAAAAAAATAGGTTGAGCAAATAAACAAAATCTCCTTTCTTAAGACTTTTACTATGTTGTCATATTTTTTATGGTTACACATACACAAAAAAATATTATTATCACAATAAATTATCAGATATTATTTTTCGAAGAATAGGGCCGATCTCATGTTTAAAAAGTGAGAAATAATAACAAAACCTCCGCTCGACATTAAAAGCAGTTTGTGGAATAATAAAATAACTTTTAAGATAATAATTATTTATCACATTTTTTTAAGTCAGTTCTATTTTTTTTAACAGTACCTTCGATAAAGGACCTCCTTTACGAATTCTTAATATGTTTATCAAACGTGGTAAAATCATTTTTACTTCGTGTTTTCATAAGTTTTGAGACATACTTTTTACTGGAAAAATAAAATAAAATGTTACTGGTTGTTATTATTTTTTACCGATTTTGAATTTGGATTTAAACTCATCACAATTTGAAAATTTTTACTGTCGAAGAAAAGTTCAACTGACAAAATAATTAAGTGTACGTTAAAAGTAGCAAGGATATCCCAGCTTCTGCACGGAATGTTTCACGCACTCATCGTCCAGCTAGTGTGATGGTATGGTGGGTAGTTTCGTATGAAGGTGTCTTTCATCTCTGCCAACAAGGTGTCAAGGTAAAAGCAAGAATTATCAGGGTAACATTTTAGAACTCGTGGTGAAACCCCTGTCTGATACGTTATTTCATAATAAGGATTTGGTTTTCAGCAAGATTCGGCAACATACCATAAGGCAAAAAGCACCCAAGTTTGGTTGAGGGAGAATTTGCCGGCCTTCATCGCGGCGGACGAGTGACCCTCCTCCAGCCCCGACCTCAATCCGCTGGATTATTCTTTATGGACTGAATAAGAGCTCAGGGCCTGCCAAAAGTACCACCTAAACTCGGAGTCACTGAAGCGAACCCTTGTTCGAGAAGCAAAGCGAATTCCGCTAGAAAAGATTCGTGCCCATATTGATGACTGGCAAAATCGTTTAAGGGGCCTTTATTAAAAACAAAGGCGGTCATTTTGAATAAAATATATATTTAATTATTGATTATCATATTTTTAATAGTTACTAAAAATTTAAGAAATATAAGATAATTATTAAAAAAGTTACGCAACTTTTATTTCGTCTTAAAACTTACGAACACATGTGGTATGAATCAACCCTAGCATTACTATTACAAAACACATTAAATATCGGTAATTATCTAATTTGTCATAGTAATGCTAATAAAGTGCTTTTTGAAAGGAGTATATCTATTTTATATCAGATATGTAAATCATTTCGATTGAAGCTGGTCACATAATTTTCATCGCACCTCTCTTGGTAAGTTCTTTTCATCATTAATATTCATCCAATTTGAAATGTCACGTTAATAAAATAATTTTAATTACAAATTTAATGACATTCTTACATTGCAAGAATAATTGTAAAACGTCAACGAAATTAAGAACACTTACCTAAATTTTAATATTCAAGAAAACTGTTTTTCACTTTGAACCCTCATAAAGACTAAAAAGGATGAATTTTAATTAAAAGGCGATTGTTGCGGTTGTGGTTCTCCGACGCAAGTAATCCGCGAAATGTTAACAAGTTATAAAAAATTATGAATTAACGTCGTCGACTGGCAGACGAGGGTCGGGCGGGGGCAGCGAACAATAGCCTCCTCAGGGGTGCCCAATAAAAACTTGACAAATGGCATTTCATAATCGTGCTGAATTCCAGGGCTCGTCAACGGGAGCCCGATTGTCATCCCCCTTATAAATAATGTCGAAATTACCTTGTATGGTCGCACTCGCGTTAACACTATCATGGATTACAGGTTATATTGTAGTTTGTTATGAAAACAAATGAATAAAATTTATTGAAATTATTAAAAAATTTATTAAAAACAAATGATAAATTTGCAATCATTACGATTGCAAATTTATCTTAAAGTGATCTATAAAATAAAGAAAATAACTTTAATTCATTTTTGATTCACTTAATTTATTTCCATTAACCAATAGCCGAAAATTTTTATAAAATTTTAATAATCGTATTAAGTAAGAACTCTAAAATATTCAAGAGAACTACAAAAATTTTAACCTTTTCTTACGCCTTTTAAATTCTCATCTGTTGGTTGAAAATATTTGCATAAATTATTTGTTATACTTATATAATTGCTTTTCATTGGCTATAGATACGAGTGTAGATCTCTAAAACACAAGATATCCCGTTTCATAGTGATGCTTTCGCCATTTATATAAGGATCACGGTTTATTCTCATATAAAAATGTCACAGGGTCATAAACTACGAGTGGATATTATTACAGAGTAGTAAGGAATGCGTATTAAGGGTCTGTAGTTCGCCAAAATATTGAGCTTGTCACGGCTCACCCCACGCCGCAGACGCGATGTTATTAAAAATAATTTCTCATTTTTATTGCCATTAGGTGTAGTGGCTTACTACGATTATAAATGACGATACCTTTATTAGTTAGTTAGTTTATTTTAGTTTATGAGTTAGTTGCTATCGTAATTAAACTATAACCATTTTTTTATTTGGAAATTTTACCTGTTACGGGATATTTTCTCTTTTTTTTAATAAAACATTATAAGGTACAACTTGATGACATATCGGCGCAGGCAGGAACTCGGTGGTACATCTGGGCGAAGGTCAGAAAGGAGCGGTCAGGGATGGAGGAGGCCTTTACCTATATTAGGGATTCTCAATAATAAAAATATCAATGGATAATGATCAAAATTGGATAGTGAATAATTATGAAATTCAAGCAAATTTAATTTAATGATAATACAAATAAAACTTTTTTTTTAATAAAATTGAAATATGATTATAAATGATAAATTAATAATGTATTTGTATTGAATAATGAATAAATTTAAATCCTATATATTTAATCCTATGAAACTGAAATTTGTATAAGAATCAATAAAAGGCTTTTTTATTTATTTATTTATTTTATAAGGTACAACTTATTTCGTAAGCTTTTTTTCTTAAGAATTAAGAACTTTATATTACGGGTGGGCAGAACTGTATGCAACAAATCGGTGCTTGGCAAAGGCTCAATTTTTTTCCATATCTTTGTTGCTTGTGTGTGACTTAAAATTGTGACCATTGACATAAACTGTTTCTTCAGTCAACTCTTACGACTTGCGCGTGATGAAAAGAACTAATACGTGGTATTTTCTAAACTTATAATTTAACACAGCAAATATTTAGTAAAATGTACCCATATAATAATTTTCGGTATCAACCCAAAAAGATTGTACAAAAACAAATCAGAAACACATATTTACACATCAATACAATTACAATATAATTTTATCTAATTCTAAATGTCAAAAAGACTATTGTTATCACGAGTATAGCTTTATTAAAGTATCTAACTCTACACTGTATGCACCAATAGGAATGTTGAGTGAAAAAGTAACGATTTTTCTTTCTATGTGTACATACGTGGTTAGCAATCATATATATAATAGTACATGACAATGGATAAATTTGTTTTCTGATTGCGAGGGGCGTGTCGTGAAGGCGCCCGCCCAGCGCGCCGAGGCACGGCAGTCTTCGCCGACCCGTCACGTCAACTGCACGCACGAGACAGGTGCGAGTCACTTGACGACGCTACGCGTGTGTTTAACTGAGAGAGGTAAGTTGGATTATATTTTTTATTAAACGATTGGAAGTTGTCATATCCGGGTAAATATTAATATAAATAGAGCCAATGAAAACTAAGTCGTTGCCTTGTTAACCGTTTACAATAATGTTATAATTCATTTATGAATGTATGTAAAACTTTTGGTAGCCATAATATGAAAAATTATATTTCTTATAAACGAAAGACTATATTATGCAATATCGTAACTACTCATTACTTTTTCGTTATTTAATAATCATCTCTAGCTTTTTCTTCGTAGCACTTCGTAGCTTGCTACGAAAAGCTACGAGAATGTGTAATTTGTAATAGAGGTTGTCTTTAAAACAGGATTATATCCGTGTATATATGTATATATGTATGTATAATATATTTTCGCTGAGCGTACACAATACATATACATATACATTGTTTTAGTTTTGAAAAATAAAATAAAAGCTATGAATATATATTATAAAAGTAAAAAAAAAACACGACGGAGCCCGCATATTAAGGCCTAGACCTAAATATAGGAAAAGAAAGTTTTTCTATAAAAGTTTCTTAATATTAAACAAAGGGTCTTAAATTCCTGTGTTATAAAAAAAATATTTCAAACATTTAACGTTTAAAAGGCAAACTTTAAAATTTTAAAAACTTAAGTAATTTCTTTTTGTCGTGTTGTTATTTAAGTAAGGCGAGAAATGAGCAGTTGCGACATATAATCAGACTTTTCAACTAAGAATGATAAAAATAACAGTAAAGTAGCATTTATAATAAACATAACTTATTAGAACACGTTTTTTTAATGCATAATTTTTAAAAATCTATCATATATTAATATAAAATTGTTTTTTTTTTATTTACACATGTCACACATACACGTCAGTAATTATACAAATAATATTTATAGACAAGTCTACATGTGTGCCGGAACGATGCAAAAGGTGAAAGCTCAATAATGCATTCCATGTGAAGCAAAAATAATACTAGAAATGTTATATATAGCATTGAAGACATAATAAAATAAATATTACTTATATACCAGTAGATATATTTTATATGGCACAAAGTGGTGATTTAAGGTATAAACACAATATTTAAATGTCCAATTGGACCAACTTTAAATAACAACAATCATTTAAATAAATTATTGCATTTTCATCATCAAAAATATGCTCAGCTGTAATATTTTATTAAAATAAAACATCGAACATTTAAAAGACCTGGTTAAGTTCAAATCCCGCCTGAAGTGGAATCATTTTTACCTACAGCTCGCACCTTCGCCCGCTTAAATATAGCCCATGACATCCGCGTATAATGTAGCTTCCCGTAATTGAAGAAATTTCATGATTGTATCAGTATTTTTTAGCTATTTTTAGCGATGATGACCCCTATAAAGAAAGTTGGACACTTTACCTCTTTATAATATTATATATTTCACGTTAAACTGGCATTCCATTATGGTTTAGCTATACGGCAGTTGAGCCTTACCAAACTCGGCATTCTTATGCTACAAATCCAAGCCCCACTGGCCTTTTAGTCATTAGGAACCATTTTATAGAGTGTCAAAGCAGCCCCGAGCAGGGAGGAAGAGTCCTATCAAGATTTGTTCATCCCATAGGCACACTTAGTTTAATACGATGTTCCTAAGTACAGATAAATAAAATAATATTCATCGTTTTATGAATCTGTTTTCCCGCGACTTCACCTGGGTAAAGTAAAGTCTATGCCATGCGTTTATCATGTAGCCTCCCGTAGGTAAAGAAAAGAATTTAGAAAATCAGTCAAGTACTTTGGAGTCTATTCGATGAAAACAAAACAAATAATCTAATGTTTCCTCTTTATAATATTGGTATAAATAATTGATATTTGTATTATTTTTGTAAAGCATTAATTTTATGAGGCTCCGGACTACTTGGAATGCTTTCAATGACCACCAGTGGTCCGCATACAATGGGTTAGAAACCAATGATTTAGGAAATCTCGGGCGGTAAACGTGCTTCGCGGGGCTGCTCGCTCAGTCACTTATAGTATTTAGTATGCCAGTGCGCACATTATAACAATAAGGACTGTATTACGGCAAAATATTCAATTTTCTTTATTACGGCTAAAAAATATATAGACAACTACGCATCTATGTATTAATTACTTATCTTATTTTTTTTAGTTTCTAATATTATGATTTATTCAAATTAAAGTAACTTCTTATATGATTACCATGTCTTTAAAATATTATTATTAATTATCAGCTTTATTAACATATGCCTTAAAAATAGTAGGTATTGTAAAATTTTACGTTATAAAAGTTCTGCTTATTTTGAAAAGGACAGTTCTTAAAAAGGCTAGGTTCTTGTTAAACACTTGTTAAACAAACGGATGAATTCACAACATCTTCAATACAAATAATATTAACAGAATAAAATAAGTATTTAAGAGAGCTTCCATATGTAATATTGCTCGTAATTTGCTCATTATCGGTACGGAATTCTTTCCGAATTACACTTGCCTATGTTCATAATATAAGCAAGGATTATAAAAAATAACATTGTAAGCTCAGAGTAAGGACTGTTACAAAACATTTCTCGTTTTCGCTTTTGTGACGTAACGAATTTTTTTCAAGGTTCAATTTAACAACCTCTTTAGAAAAGTTTAAAGTTCATCTGCGTTTTTTATGCTTCGCATCCGCCCTCCATTCTGTAGTACAGCGGGAAGTTCAGTTTATATTACGACATTAGTGATTTAACATCTGATAACTGGTCATAATTTTTGACTGCCGATGTAAGGTGGAAGTTTGATATGTAATCATATTATGACTGCATCGTTTTCTACTCTCTAATATATATTTTTGCTATACGTAGCTTGTTAAGGTTCGAAGTATTGGTAATTTGGTAAAGTTTTATAGATTTTTATTTTTTTTAAATAATCTCACCTCTTGCCAAATAGGTGTAATAAAAATAAAATCCTAAAAGATATTTTAATGATAATTAAAACTATAATCTGTTGTTGATTTTGCGACATTGATGTTATTGCATCCGTTCTGATAAATATCATTGCGTTTGAGTACATATTTTGAATTTACCGCATTTTTTAAATATTTATTTTCCAGACGAAAACGGAATAATGTTAAAAAATATTTATATAGAAATTATTCTCAAGCAATAATGATTTGTAATAAAATATTTGGCCCTTTTTGGAATCAGACATATGCGTGTTTAAAAAAATCCTCTTCTATGTTATTTATCCCATTATTGTTTTATACTGCCGAGGTACTCAATTTATATTTATTCTTATTTCTGTTCTGTGCTCATTTATATGTATGTTTCCGAATACATTAATGTTTCGATGCCTCCTGGACCGATTTAGGATTTATTAAAAAGGACAAACTATCACGTAGGTCTCATTTACACCAAGTCAAAAGCTGATCATGATATTCAAGAAAAAATTCAGAGCAACTTTAATTTTTTTGCAAGGGCTTTATATATATTTGACAAACTATTTGTATACTTATTAGCGATTGATACTGTTACTAAAGGAAAAATACAAAAAGAAGACGGAATGCTGTGCCGTAAATGGTAAAAAACCCGTGGAACAATTGTCACCTGCAGATGATTACAACTAGAATCAAGATGTGCTCAAGTTAAACATCATGTAGGATTCACAGAGAGATTCTACTGGATTCACTACTGAGATGACGTGGAGGACTGGTGTCTCAAATGTCGTAACAATACTAATTATACAGCTGTCAAAGGACCTCACACTCGTAGTGGGGGTGCACCACAGGTCTACGATGGTGAGGCCCCGTTGGAACGGGGCTCATACAGTATGTAGTTTCGTTATAACCGCAGAGCTAACAGAAGGCTTCAAGGAGGAATCTAATAAAGTCGCCAAAGCCACAAGCAAAATGGGATGGACCCTACCGAGTCATGACGAGGATCAACGATATCACGTATATCGATAAGTGGCATCGTCATCGAGGACAATGTCTACGAGGGACGTCGACGCCGATGCTAACCATGGGACGAGCGTGTCTAAGGAGGAAGAAGTGTTACAGAGTGCAGCCGCGTAGTTGATCTACATATTACTAGATGGTGTTATGCGCTAACGAATCGCGTTAATACTATCGAAACTACGTGTGTTATATAGGTATACATCGGCGAGCAAGGGTCAGCCATTGGGGAAGAAAGGGACGGGTAGCTGCTCTAGAACTTTTTGATAATGTCTTGAATACTATACTACTATGCTACTATACTATACTAGACTACTAACCTAGAACATTCTTGATGTGGTATCGGCCCCTATAAATAAGCGGTGGACCACCCGTCCCGGCATTCTTTCAATGATTAGTGAACTGATTACGAGAGCGATCGAAAGCGTAGTGAACTATGTCGACGATCGAATAGTGTTGGAAAGTGTAGTGACGTGAATAGTGGAGTTAAAGTTTGAGATTTGTTATTGGTTTATTCATGTTATTTTATTAAGTAAATAAAGTCGGATTGTGAATTTAATTGACGTAATGTTTTTATCCCGAACCCTAAGTCGTAACAATACATAATGTTTCTGAGCAGCTTTTTTAAAAGGTTTTAAATATTACAGGCTCGTATAGGCCACTACGGTCTATATATATTATGTTTCTTTGAATTATTCAAATAAGTTACAGGCTGACTCTTGGATGGATAAATAATTTTTATTGTTTGAAAGTGAACGTTGTCACAAAAAAATCATCAGAAGCAGATTTGAAGTATCTTTGTAAATCTTAAAAATTGACAAATGTTTACCATAGTAAAAACTGAGTTAAATATAATTCGTAATAACAACAAAGGCAGTTTAGAAATCCAAAAACTTCAGTTGAAAGTGGAAGAGAATTTAATTCAGGCGTACGACTTGAAGTTCGCTAAATTTCAGTGTGAATTTGTTTCTGTACCGTGTGTGTTCGTTAAAAGGGGCGAGGTAAATTGACGTATTTATGTAGGTCCTGTTCTGTTCTGTCCTGTTCTGGAAAAATTATAAACGCCGCT